CGCTCATCGACTCGTAAACCCCGCCCCCCCCGCCCAGGCCCTGCTCTGAACTTGAGATCCCAAGGCCTTCTGCCCTATATGAAACCCGGTTAAAATGCTGGACCTGAATCCATAACCTAGGTCTAGAACTGAGCCTTTTCGCCATATAAGGGGTTTACAGGGGGTCTCCTATTAGGGGACCCCATGTGAACATCTTTCGCAGCGAAAAGTGTTCGCAAGGGGTCCCGTAGCAGCGGGCCAGTCCCCAGTGAACATTTGTTTCGTCAAAATATTCTGGATGGGTCCCCCGATAGGGGACCCCCTGTGAACACTTTTCGACGCGAAAAGAGCTCACAGGGAGTTCCTATTGGGAGACTCCCTGTGAACACTTTTTGTCAGGGGACCCCCTGAACGTATTTCGCCGCGAAAGTTGTTGACAGGAGGTCCCCTATTAGAGGGCGTCCTCTGTCACTGTTTGTCGCGAAAAACAAAAAAAGGAAGGCCTGTGAACACTATTCGGGCCTAATGGCCAACGAGGGTTGGGATGCATCGGAGTTCAATGACCCCAGGCTCCTGAGGTTTAAGGGCTTGAGATTTGAAATATTAAGCTTTAAGCTTCACAGTTGGACGATGCCATGACACTGCGGGCCCAGTTGTTCTGTGTCTGTACGCAATAATGAGGGGTTGGTCTTGTTTTTGGGCTAAACCCTGAACGCCGCCTTATCCCTAAGTCCTAAAGAAAAGGCCAAAGCATCCTCGACTTGGCATTTTCAAGGTTTAGGCTTTAGGGTTTAGGGTGTTCCCTTCTTGGGGCTTAGGGATCTGAGTCAGGAATATTTTTCAGAGGGCTGAACGAGACAACATAGTGGACGATTGCACGTGCCACGTGCGACTTCGGCTTACTAGGACGCCCGATGCTGTCCTGAACCCGAAAGCCCTAAACCCTAAGACGCTAAACACTAAAACCAGAAGCCCTAAATACCCTAGCTGCTACTACTTGCTTAAGAACAGCACCCCCCCCCCCCCCAAGAAAAAAACACAAAAGAGTCATGACATTTCAGCAGATACACACATATCTATATATATATATAAATTTATGTTTACACTCTGAAATATAAGAGTCCCTTTATTTGCATAGGGGGAAATAACTTCTTCGCAGATTGCCAAGTCTTTGTCCGGCATCTCAGACTTCAGGCCCGCACAATGTCAGATAGGGCGTTTACACTTTAAGGTTTTGAGGGTGTTTAGGGTTTTTTGATTGTTTTTGAGTTTTTTTGGTTTTTTGGCGGTGGGGAGGGGTTCTTAGGGTTTAGGAAAGCGGCTCACGCCCACTAAGCCCAAAACCCTCTATGCGGGCTTCCGATCAAGACTTACACTTTGGTGCGGTGCGGTTACAAGGAACCAAAGTCATTTATTCTTCATACTTGTGCGGTACCCCCCATTTCGGGCAACAGTCAGATAAACTCCAGCATCCCTCAAACCCTTCCAGCAGTCCAGCAACCTAAGGATCCGGGTGCATGCAGCCCCGACTCCACAAAGACTCATGGCGACTTGGGCGCTGTCTGCACTGCAGGGTTTAGGGTTTAGGGTTTAGGGTTTAGGGTTTAGGGTTTAGGGTTTAGGGTTTAGGGCTTTTGGGTTGGCGGCTTGGGGTTTAGGGGTCTCGGGCTTAGGGTTCAGGGTTGAAGGTTGAAGGTTTGGGGTTACGTTACGTCTAGTACCCGGGTTCAAAACATGGTCGGTTTCCTTAACGGTAGCCCCTACATCCCCTAAACCCCCTAACCTCCCACACATTGCGACGAGTGACACCCAAAGGGGCCGGAGATGAACATAAAACTGACCCCGAAAGTCGGGTCTTCAAGATATGGTCGGCAAAAGCGACTACAATGTGGCGACTAGAGCATCTCGAAGCTTTCTCACGGGGGGGGGGGGGGGGGGGGGGGGGGATGGTTCATTTTATTGCGGTCTGGTATCGATCAAGGTTCAGTATTTCTGCAGTGCCACCATCCGAACACGCCCAACCCAAAAAAAAACGCCAAAGCCCAAAAGCCCAGCACCCGAGGTGCATGTGGACGGTGGGGGAAGTCGTCGGAACTCTGCAGCCACGACCGCAGGACGGGCTGTGCTTAGAGGGGTTGGTGCCACTTATCACCCACTTATAAGCCCCTTAAGTGCCCGAACATGGTAATAATTAGGTGATACGTACAGTCAGAATTGGGTTCAAGTGGACCCCAAAACACAGGAGGCCTCGGTGGATGCTCTCAAGCCTAAACCCTAGACCCCTACAAAAGGTAGGCCCTTGGGACATTTCATTTTTTCCCTTCACTGGGTTTAAGAGGATCATGTTCAGAATTTTTTGCAAAGCTTTTTAAGGGCCATCCTAGCCTAAAACCCCGTAATCCCTATAGGAGACCCCTGAACCCCGAACCCTAAACCCTAAACCCTAAACCCTACACCCTAAACCCTAAACCCTAAACCCTAAACCCTAAACCCTAAACCCTAAACCCTAAACCCTAAACCC